GGGCACTCATGCAGCCTCACTCCTGAGCCGACTCTGTGCATACATAAGATACACAGAATGGGTCTCGACTCAGCCTCCACTCCTCATTGGCTGTGATTGACAGCAGCTGGAGCAAAGGCTCCCACTGCTGTGTCTGAGCCATTGAGGATGGAGAGAGCAGCCTCTGCTCTAATGCATATCACTGGATCAAGATCAGGCTTATGTAAGTATAAGGGGGGCTGCTAAAAAATTTTTTTACCTTAAAGCGGAGCTCCACCCAAAAGGGAAGTTCTGCTTTAAGGACTGCTCCCACGCTCCCCATTAAGGATTGGCGACTTTGGGGGGCGATGGGGGGGTGGCGGGTACCCGAATTTGACAGGTACCCGCCCCCACTTCCGGTCTGATCGCCTAGGCGATCGGAAACGGAAGGTGTCCTTCCTCCCTGTAGTCTTTTGAGACACGTGACAGGTCCCAGAAGACTACAGGACCATTCATGAAGCGCAGCACTACTCGCGCATGCGCAGTGGGTACACAGCTGTGAAGCCTCAAACTGTCATAGCTGGGTGCCCACACTGAAGATGCCAGCCTCCTGGAATACAGGACGGCCGGTGAAACGAGCTGCGGGACACACACCACAGGACCGAGGGACAGGTAAGTGGCTGTTTTTTAAAAGTCAGCAGCTACAGTTTTTGTAGCTGCTGACTTTTATTTTTTGACAGTGTGAGTGGAATTCCGCTTTAATGCAGAGAATGCATTAAGCCAGGGGTGTCAAACTGGCTGCCCTCCAGCTGTTGAAAACTACAAGTCCCATCATTCCTCTGCCTTTGGGAGTCATGCTTGTAACTGTTCATTTTGCAATGCCTCATGGGACTTGTAGTTTTGCAACAGCTGGAGGGCCGCCAGTTTGACACCCGTGCATTAACATAAAAATAAAAAATCTTTCTGTCTTTCTAACCACTTTAATCTGTATTCATAAACATTGGTAACTGTTTCATGTGTTCACTATGGATTCATGTGATTCATATTCAGTGCTGCCTCTTGAAGCTCAATACTAGTCAAAGCTTGTTTCTTTTTATCAAAACATTTGTTGAGTTTTTATTGCTTATGTCCTCACTGGGGAGATTTCCTCTCACTTCCTGGTGACAGGTCTTGGACAAAAGGGGAAGTCTTCCCAAAGGACCTGACATAGGTTTCTAATCCTTTCTCGCTTTGTCCAATAAAGTGAAACAAAAGTCGAAGTATAAAAAAAATGATAGCAGCTAGTTTTGTGGCAGAATAGACTCTTCATGTCTGTTCTACAATAAAATCCTTTCCCTTTCCGTTAATATTTATTCATTTTAATATATGCTGAGAGTAAGAGCCAGGTCCAACACAGCAAACACTTTTCCCCTGCGCTGGGAATGGACTCAGTGAAACCAATAGGAATGTTCTGGAATATGCGCTGCTTGCTGCCCTCAACAGACCGGGTGGTCCAAATTTACTAAATGCAAATGGAAAAACAAAAAAGAAGGCACACCGACCAAGTGCATTATTGTTTGAAAATATTTATTGAAAGAACAAAGTAAGTATGATACTCACAATGGACATAAAAATACAGGCATGTCACACTGAACAAGATGTTTGATCCAAACAGCATCTGAGTCCATACGATGGAACCCTGGATGACCAACTTGCTAACGCGTTTCGATGGTACTTCTCCTATATAAGCTAGTAAATGATGACGGTCCACTGTGAGAAGTGCAGACTTTTGAAGTGTTGGCTCTGAGGAAGAGGTTGTGTCCTCGAAATGCGTTAGCCAGTTGGTCATCCAGGGTTCCATCGTATGGACTCAGATGTTGTTTGGATCAAACATCTTGTTCAGTGTGAAATGCCTGTGTTTTTATGTCCATTGTGAGTATGATACTTACTTTGTTCTTTCAATAAATATTTTTAAACAATAATGCACTAGGTCGGTGCGCCCTCTTTTTTGTTTTTCCATTTGCATTTAGTAAGAGCCAGATGCCAGGATGACCTAACTGCCATGCACATACATAGGAATTATGCCATGTGTGGCTGACTAAGGGCTCATGTACAATGCTAGCTGATGAACTCACGTGTAGGAGCTGTTCAGTGTCTTTTTTTCAGCAGCCCCTGAACTCACCCTAATGTTTTCCTTTGCTTACAGTCGTTTTTACAGGCAATTGAGTTTACAGTCATTTTTTTGAAGGCAGAAAATTTGAGTGTAGCAGTCGATTTTATCAGCGTTTCTAGCGCAAAACGCTTGCAAACACGGCTAAATGTGTTTATAAGCATTTGCATCTCAATTTTTTTTTAACTCTTTCAGTTCCCGATGCTGTCCAGAGCCTTTTTTCATCATGAAAAATGTACGCAAAGATTTTTCAAGGTACTCAGATGGACAAAACACTGAAAACAGGATGTTCCTATCAAGCTTGTCACACATTGTAATGATCAATTCACACCTCAGACCTCTCCCACCCTTGGAAACAAAAGATATGGTAATGACCATTCACACCTCAAATTCCTCATGAAGACCCCTGGCCTGACTTCACTCCACTAGACACCTTCCCACCCTTGGAAACAAAAGAAATGTTAATGAGCAACTCACACCTAAGTTAATTTCAACGCATACTGCTGTCTCTGCTTCTATTCTCTGCATTTCTCTGAAACAGTCTGAAATAGTTAATAATTTACCACTTTTCAGTGCATTCTGGGCATTTGCGAGGTTCTCCTGTGCTTATCTTTAAAAAACTCTTCTAAACATAAATGCAAATAAACGTGCATAAACGCACATAAACGTGGTATGCAAACGCGGCTAAACAGACATTTTTTAACCTAAGTTTTCCAGCAGTCAGTTCCCATCATTCACTAGTGTCCAGTGTACATGGAGCCTAAGGGCTTATGTACACTGCAGCTGCTAAACTGACGTTCAGGAGCTGTTCAGCATTTTTTTCAGCAGCCCCTGAACTCTCCCTAATGTTTTCCTATGTGTCCATGTACACATCGCCATTTACAGTCATTTACAGCCAGTTGAGTTTACAGTTGTTTTTTTGAACACACCAAACTTGTGTTCAGGAGTAGATTTTACCGGCGTTTCAAACGCCAAATGCTTTTAAACGCGTGTATAAGCTTTTTTTAACTGTTCCATGTTCAGATGCTGTCCAGAGCCTTTTTTTATCATCAGAAATGCATGCAAAGCATTTTCCATGTATTCAAATGGACCCGGTACACCAGCACAGTCAGTTCCAGGTTTCGCATGAAGGAAAAAATGGTAGAAAGTGCTGCATTATGCTCACGATGGGATCTATAGTTAATGCAACCAGAAAAGACAGGTAATCTCACATACTGCTCTCTCTGCTTCTGCTTTCTCTATTTCTCTCAAAATGTCTTGAATAGTTAATTTTTTACTATTTTTCGGTGCATTCTGGGCATTTGGGAAGGTCTCCTGAGGTTATCTTTTAAAAAACACTTCTAAACGCAAAAAAACACGGTATGCAAATGCGGCTAAACAGATGTTTTTTAAGCTACAATTTCCAGCAGTCAGTTTCCATCATTCAGAAGAGTTTTCCAAGCGCCCCGTGTACATGAGCCCATGGCTGAAGACAGAAGACTACAGACCCAGAAGAAAATTGAGGACAGCAGCAGTGGCGGAACAAAGATGGGGGAGCTTAGACCACTTAACACTGGAGGAGAGCACTCTTGCTCATTAGAGCAAGAGCTCTTGGGGCGCACAGTGGCTCAGTTGCACTTTATATCTAGTCCTAAGCTTTCAATGAACTTAATTGTTCACAATGCAAACGGCTGGTCTGCAAAGGTAAGTATCATTTTATACACTGCTTCTTGAATAACCTTCTATCCAAAACAAATATAATGGTTTTGATGGAGGTCCTTTAGCCACCACCACATAAAAATAAATGATCACATTTTCCATGTTGCATTTCTCTCACACAGTGTTTTAAGGGTGTATAACAATTATTCAGAAGCCTCCGCACATAGTTTAAAACATTTTCCCATAGAATAATTTTATAAAGAACCCTGGATCCATTTATTAACCTCAATGCACTAAATCTTAAAAAAAATTAAACCCAAGCCTTAGGTTTTTATATTCCTCTCGGCCACCCAGTGAGATCCTTTCTTTTCATTTATATTTTTTCCTCTTTCAAACCACCCTCATGCTATTTGGGATGTAAAGTAATAGAAGGGGATGCAGATGTAAAATGAGGCCATGCTCTCTAATGAGTTTTACATTTTCTACCAAAGAATAACAAAAAAGCTGAACGAAGAGGAGGGGGGTTATGTCCAATTATCTTACATTTGGAACAATTTACAGTAAAAAAAAAATCAAGAAAATACAACCCTAAACTATTATTAACCATGCATCAATTAATATGGAATTAAAAACATCAGTGCAACTTTCTCTATCAAACACAAAACATGCATGACCTGAAACTTTCATATGTTGCATACAGAAATTCATCATAAAGAAAATTACATGATATTAATTTGTGATGTGACTACTCCAATTAGCACTGGTGATGATCTGGCATTATTGTCAACTCAATTATAATAAAATGTAAGAAATTAAAATAAGCTGTTTTTCAAGCAATATGTACATTTTATGCTGACAATTAGGATTTGACCACTTTTTAAATAGTTTTCACTGTATGCATTGCAAAATAAAAATAGAAATAGCTCATTAGTCACTTCTTCTAAAAGGATCTTAAAAACCACGTGCCAATTTGGATGTAAGTCAGGTAAAGTATATGTAAACCTTAACCACTTGCCTGGTGGGCATTTCCACCACCTTCTTGCCCAGGCCAATTTTCAGCTTTCAGTGCTGTCACAGTTTGAATTTCAATTGCGCAGTCATGCACCACTGTACCCAAACAACATTTTTAGCATTTTTTTTATAAAGATAGAGCTTTCTTTTGGAAGTATTTAATAACCACGGGGTTTTAAAAAAATGTTTTTTTTTTGTTTCTGGTATAAATTTTTGAAAACAGGTAATTTTTTTTCCTTCATTGATGTGCGCTGATGAGACTGCACTGATGGGCACTGATAGGCTGCACTGATGGCCACTGATGAGGTGGCACTGATAGGCAGCACTGCTGGGCACTGATAGGCTGCACTAATGGGCACTGACGAAGAGGCACTGATGAGGCTGTAATGATATGCAGCACTGATGGGCAGTGATAGGCAGCACTGAAGGGCACTGATAGGCTGCACTGATGGCCACTGATGAGGTGACTGATAGTGGCACTGATAGGCAGCACTGCTGGGCACTGATAGGCTGCACTAATGGGCACTGACGAAGAGCACTGAAGATGATAGGCTGCACTGTACTGATGAGGTGGCATGCAGCACTGATGGGCAGTGATAATGGCAACAAGAGGCACTGGAGGCAGGTGGCACTGAAGGGCAACACTGATAGGCAGCACTGACTTGCAGCACTGATGGGTACTAAGTGGCAGCACTGATGGACACTGACTGTCAGCACTGATAGACACTGTTTATATATATGCCATCTTTACCATTTTCCCTTTATTAAGTTGAAACAAATGTGTCAATGTGTGAGGAGAGACTGGCCGTATTTGACCCCAAAAACATGGCCGCCTCCAAGGAATCTCCGGGAAAATGGCGGAGATGACATATATAAGCCAGGATCAGTGTAGTGACTGTCCTATCACAACCCCCTGATGAAGCCACGTGACCTATGGCGTAATGCGTAGGGGTGGGGCTACGACATCACTCGGAAGCAGAGAGAGCAAAACAGCAGACGGCAAGTACATGCCTCGACGGCTTGCACAGGCTTTCATGATACTGAGCGCTTTTTATACATTTTAAATGTGAGTGTGAATTACCTGGATTGTGGGAATAAAATATATGTTTTAAGGATAAAGCACTATGTCTCCACTTTCTTTTTGCATGCTGAGGAACGAATAAAGAGGAGTAGCAGGTGATATATAACAGCTGAAAGAGGGATCAATCCCTGCAGGGGCAAGCAGTTTACACAGGATAACTGCATTAATCCATAAGGAAGGACCTTACAACTATTCTATATAGAAATAATTGTCGCAGGTTCCAAGGAGGGTGAACCACAATTGTGTATAGCCTAATTTTAGGCATTCAAGGAGGTGAGCATACATCTTTATCAGTTGGAGGATTCACGGAAAGTCACAAATTGATGATTAATGATCACCTTATCACTAATATTGGACTATATTGATTGATGGGACTATTATTTCAAATTTCAAATTGTTTTGTGTCACAATATTTTGATTATGTAACACTGTCACTTGTTATAATTGATTTTTTAGTTTAAATTTATGGTGTGTTATATCACAGGAGGGATATATTATTTTGTTATTGTGGTAATAAGGAGCGCTACATTTATAGGTATATAAAAAAAAATACATATTTCTATGCAAAAAAATGTACTGCTTTGAGCACAGAATTATGGACATAATCAGACCGCTAGGGAGGTTAATGTACTTTTTAAAGATTACAATGCATTGAAGTAAATATGACTTAGCATTCCAGCAAGAGGTAATACAATAAAAAGTTGTGTGGCAAATGGCCATAGAAAAAATTAAGATTGGAGAACATAGAACACTGGGCTTTAGACATGGAGAATATCTACTGTATGTAGTAAGAGAAAGCATCAGTCTGTGAGTGTGTAAGTAGAAAAGGAGAGCGTGGGATGATCGGGTGTTGTCATTGCACCCAGAAGTCATCCTATGAAGAGGTCTTAATTGCAGAAATCAAAGCAGACTCAGAGATCCCACACTCAATTTCATATTTAATAAAAGTATTACTCATTCTAAATGTGTGGGCTTCCCTGAGTTTCTGAGTGCGACCGTTCTGTGCAAGTGAGACTTGTGAGAAGTTCAATATGAGAAGAAAGGTGTCTAGGAATAAAACTAAAGGGTTGTATGTATTGGATTCACTATCTGAAAGGGTTAAATATAGATGTGGATATTCATTGTAGATCCACATGACTGTAATGAATATTTTTGTAGCAATGAGGTCATATAATGGATTTTGTTATGGACTGTCACACATCTATTGTATAAGGATATTATCAGGCGAGTGGGTTAAATATGCTTAGTATACTAAATTGTGGGAGTAAGTGAATATGTTTCATTTTATTTGTGCATAAGTGCCCCAACATGTGGATGATAATTTTGGATGATTTATTTTACTGTATTTTAATTTATCTTGATTTACATAGTTACATAGTTATTCTGGCTAAAAAAAGTCAAAAGTCCATCCAGTTTAACCATTAAAAAAAAAAAAGTTAGAATTCTATACCCACAGTTGATCCAGAGGAAGACAAAAAAAACCCAGCAAAGCATGATCCAATTTGCTCCCGCAGGGAAACAAATTCCTTCCTGATCCCCCGAGAGGCAATCGGATATTCCCTGGATCAACTTTACCTATAAATGTTAGTATCCAGTTATATTCTGTGTATCTAAGAAATAATCCAGGTCTTTTTTGAAGCAATCCACTGATCTGGCCAGAACCAACACTTGAGGGAGTCTATTCCACATTTTCACAGCTCTCACTGTGAAGAAACCTTTCCGTGTTTGGAGATTAAATTTCTTTTCCTCCAGACGTAAAGAGTGCCCCCTTGTCTTCTGATGACCTCAGGGTGAATAACTCTACACCGAGTTCACTATATGGACCACTGATGTATTCATACATGTTGATCATATCCCCCTTTAATCTCCTCTTCTCAAGATGTTTGATCTTTAACTGGTTACATGGTTAACCATCAGTGGGCACTTTAAGTTCCTGCAGCCAGGACATTGGAATACTTGGATCATATGTAGGGTTAAAGAGGGTATGTGTAAGATAATAGATGTCTCATAGTTATGCCGCTCCTGACAAAAGTGTGCTTTGCTTTGGACAGAGCCAGAGCCTTGTGATGTCATCACATAGAGACCGTACACACGAGGGTAGAGGAAGTGTACGTGGAGTCTCTCTATTAACTTAAGCTGTACTATCCTATGTGCAGGGATTAAAGTGTTGCTAAACCCAGGACTCTGCATTCACTATATATGGCCTCCCACAGTACACAGAACATGGAAATGCAATTTCAATAAATATAAACTGGAGAAGCCTTAAGCTTCATTTAAAAAAAAAACTTATGGAGAATTCCTTTAACAAAGAAAATTTCCTCTATTCCTCTCCCTCACAAATTGAATCATTGTTCAATCCACAAATACATGGTGTGGTCCTCATGTCCTGGGAGAAGCCTCAAAGACTGTACATAACAAACAATGCTCAACCTGTGGCCAAGCTGGACATATATAATTATATTGTCACTCTAGACGTCATCAGAAGGTTCAGGGTGAGCAACAAAGCCCTATTTAGAATTTAAAGGTCTTGCTCACAAAAGACAGACTTTCACACACACTGTCTAGGAATCCTGTAGCATACATTCCTTCTGGGACTTAGAGTTCGGCCACTCATCAACCAAGTCAGCCGCAGTATTTGGATAGCCAGCACACAGACCATGAAGAGCTCCTTAGCTTGCTACATGAACATCACATTAAGAAAGGAGCTTGACTTTAAATAAACCTGTTGACACCCTTTGTAAAGAATACTGGATTTAAAGTGCTGCTAAACCCAGGACCCTGCATTCACTATATCTGGTGCACAGAACATGGAAATGCAATTATTTTAGTAAATATAAACTGCTAAATACCTTTTCTCATCATCAGTTAGAGCAGTCTTGTGACTTCTATCAGTGTCCAGCAGAGCACTGGTTAAAGCTTCTAGGAGGAGTTTTCATTTTGCTCTAGGAGGATGCAGAACCACTGACCTCTGTTTGGACAGTGCTGATTGGCCCTGTGTTGATCACATGCACTCTCCCAAGGGAAACAAAACCTCTCTAGCAATATACACCAAACTGAGCATGTGTAGAGTGACTCCACATGATATGTCTTATCAGGAGATAAGAGGGGGGCACTGGAAGCAGGGGAGGATCAGAGAAGTCAGGATCAAACAGCATTTTTACACAATGCAGAGGATTAACCTCTTCCACAGTAAGTATAACAAGCATGCTTTACTGCATTTAGTATAACAAGCATGCTTTACTGCATTTACAGACTGATTTTACTGTTGTGGGTTTAATAACACTTTAAGCACCAATGATTGTGAGTATATTTTTTTTATGTATTTAAATTTTTAATAAATATGTTATGAAAAACTGATGGAAGTGCATACATGGAGGTTTTGAAGGACTACAGTTGCTGCTGAAAAAGTAAATCTTTACTGGATGTTTATCCTCAATATGCTATAATTGACCATCCTATCAGTTTAAGTGGTGAATGTTGGAAGGTGAGTGCATTATTATGGGGGGAGCAGTCGGGGAGAACTGTGTGGAAATCATCAAGTGACTGGAGAGTATCATGTGTAAACCACTGATGAGTGGGCCAGTATGGTGGACTTTGTTGTACACATTACAGTGATGGACATGATCGCCACATCTCTTGGACTATTGTACAATTCATTTTCATAGTTTGTTGGTTTGCACTATCGCCCTTTATTGATGCACTTCAGGAAGTACATCACTTTATACCATTTTGTGTATCAGAATAAATCATTTGTATTTTTGCACAACATTTTCACTTTTATTTATACATATTATACTGTATATGTGTTTTTGCAGAGAATGATTATATATGGTGTTTCATATATACAGTGATTTCATCTAATATATATATATATATATATATATATATATATATATATACTTTTTTTTTTTTTAATTATTATTATAAATTTTTTACTTTATTATTATAGTATTTTTATTTTTGTGGTGTATAAGACAAGTGTGTTTTGGCCCACGTGTCCACTTCCAGTTGAAGGTGATTCAGCATTTAGCAGCTGTTAGTACTGTAGAAGTATTTTTGGAGGCCTTGGACACATTGGAATGTTTTTATTTTTAATATTGAATACTTGTATTCACCTTGATCATCTTTTGTCACAGCTCAGTGCTGCTGATTTCCTGTTGCCTCTTTGCAGCCACTTCTGTCAACAAGAATGCACTCCAGTGATGGCTACATTGCATTTCTAAACATGGATTTCCTGATGGACC